GCTGCATCATTAGATATATTATGTACGGTACTTTATCCAAAGATAGTGTCTCAAATTTACTGATGACAACAATGGACTTTCGCAGGCTGATACGATTCCTATATTGGTTTTATTGTTTTAGGAATTGTAATGGGGGATCTGAATGCCAAAGTTGGAGAAGGAAACGAGGGATATGAAAGTGTGCTTGGTAGGCATGGAATTGGTATACGTAATGAAAATGGAGAGCGGCTGATAAATTTCTGTGGGCATAACAACCTGGTGGTAACTGGTACCATCTTTCCTCATCGACTAATCCATAAGCAAACATGGACTTCTCCAGGAGGGAGAGTAAATAATCAAATTGATCATGTATTGGTAAGTAGACAACATAGAACATCTATAATGGACACAAGGGCAATGAGAGGAGCTGATATAGCAAGTGACCGTCAACTGGTACGTTCCAAAATTAAACTAAAGCTGAAAAGAAAAATTGATAACAGAAGCGTTAGAAGAAAATTTGACACAATGAAACTACAGCATCCCGGGGTCAAGATACAATTTTCACTGAAACTGAGAAATAAATATGATGTTCTAGAAGACCATAATGTTGCAGATAGTACTGTTGAGGAGAGATGGCAGGGTTTTGAGAAAGCATATAAGGAAGCAGCTCAGGAAGTATTGGGATATAAAGCAAAAGGACAGAAGCCATGGATAAGCAAGGAGTCTTTGGGAATAGTGGAAGAGAGAAAAAGACTAAAACAGAATATTGAACAGGCCAACTGATATGGTTAGACAGATATACACCCGCAAATACAGGAATAAAGATAAAGAAGTGAAGAGGAATTTGAGAAAGGATAAGAGAAAATGGATTGACAATCTTGCATTGCAGGCGGAGAAAGCAGCTTGCAATGGAAGAATGAAGGAAGTATACATGCTTACTAAAACCATTAGCAATGACAAGCCGAAGCCAGCATTTGCTGTTAAAGACAAAACCGGAAGTCTAGTGACTGGGCATGCTAGAACGGAAAGATGGAGGGAACATTTCGAGGAAGTCTTGAATCGACCCGTTCCTGACAATCCTGTAAATGAAATTGTGGTTGAACCTGTAATACATGAAATTAGTACCGAACCTATAACA